CTCTGCGATGTCACTTCCTGGAAAGCGCTAGCCGAGACCCCCCCCCGGCTCCCTCCTGGCTCACCCCCCCTCCACTCTCCAGGGGTCCCGACTTCCTCGTCCTCAGGCCCTCAGCCAGGAGGGTTAAGCCCAACTCCTCTATAAACATTCCTTAACACGCCTTCTTATTGTGTGGTGTTAATCCTCACCGACCAGCAGGAAAGGCATGAAGGTATAAAGGGAGTTGTACAGAAGTCTTTCCACAACGAGCCCCTGACCTGGGGGTCTCCTAGTCAGGAGACTAGGCTCCTGCAGATCCCTACTCATTCCCATTCTAGAGGCCTTTCCTATGTGCAGCTATTAGGTCAGTATTAACGGGAGCCGAGACATAAGCCCCATAAAAGTGTTTTTTTATTTCTTACAGTGGGTGCTACAAAACACCCACTTCTTTCCGAATGTGGTCATCAGGCACGCCTATTGTGTACACCCCTGTTCCAGCCTGTCCTCTGTGACAGGCAGCTCGGGACAGGGCAGTGGGAAGGCGGCAGAAGGCTCCAGCCCCCGTGCTGGACAGGGTGGCTGCGAAGGTAGCTGCTTTCTAAAGGTTTGGAAAAATACCTGTCATCTTGAACAAGGGATCTCAGCCCTCAAGGACGAGAGATCCCTTGCTGAAGTGCTTAATAATTCACAAGCTTTCCCCAATCGTTCCAGATGACTGAGGCAAGGTGACCCATGTAACGTCCTGGGCAGGACTAGAACCGCAAAGAGCTCTTCCCCGCCCCGCTCTCTCCAATATCGCAGCCAGCTCTAACCCTCGTTCGCAATGCAGGACGATTTCCTAGCGATCGACTGTCCGAGTCAGTCTCTCCTGGTCTGTACAGGTAAAGGTAGCAGGTAAGCCTTACTCGCTTCATCGTGTTGCCATGCAGGCAGATAAAAGACAACCGTGTTGCCACGACACAAACCCACCGACCAATAGGGGACACACAAGCATGAAGAGAAAGAAGAAGAAAAAATCAAGAAATGAGAGTACACAATCGGTTTTCCAAATTCCGCAGGTCAATAGCCACAGGAGCCAGATGACTGAGTGCGATTGCCTATCGCACTTGAAAATGCCCCTCTTTTGAGACGTGTGAGCGCCGTCGCACCTACCCTTCAGCAATTAGCCCCTCTCCCCAGGGGCTTGAGCAGTTTGGTGCCCGTCCTGCTGAAGCCAAGGAGCATTGGATTTCAAACCTAAAAATCCAGGCAAACAATGGAACACGACGCGCCAGCCTCTCACGCAAAACCTTTGCTCATTCACTTCACTCCTCGGGTGGGAAAAGCGCTATCTCCCCCGCGGACACGGGCCCCTGAGGTCTCGCCGCTCACACGTTAACAAACTCCAGCAATTAATCAAGACAAGTCCTTCCACTGAGAGGCATTTTACTGGCGTCAGGAGTGTCACTTCGATCATCCCTGAGCCTGCTAGGATAACCGTCAGCTCAGCTGAGAAGTTCCGCAGGATGGGGAGAATCCCAGTGGATTTGATTTCCACACCTTCGATTTAAATCCGGGACTGGTTTTCCCGGAGCCCCACAAGAGCAGCACGGAACCGCTACAGAGATCCGTATTAAAATAAGAGATGGCAGCCAATAGTTCATTTTAGCCACCACAAAGGCACGCCGGGGAAGCAGCGCAAAGTCCTAGGTGGACCATGTCCGCTGTGATTTTCTCCGGAAAGGACGTCTGGGTTTAGTTCTTGTAGAAGTTAGAAACAGGGCCGTTTTCCAAAGAAAGGAAATTCTCCCATTTGGGGGGGGGGCGGGGGACTAAAATGCGTTTTAACAGGACAAGGAGACAGGAACACACCGTGACCGAGCGGGACTGCGCAGACGAACTAATGAATGAATCATTACGCTAAAACAAATCAACAAGAATAGCAGTATCGGAACTTCATAAACTTAGTACCGTACAATAAACTGTCCGAACGCACCTTATTTTCATTTAATTAGTTGTGAATGCAACAAATTAAACCCAATTAACCGTCAAAAAGTGAAAATTACGATTCAATCTACATGTTGGCGTCTTAGGTCAAATAAACACAAATTCAGAGACGTTAAGTAGAGGATGGCTGTTGTAGTTGCACTGATGTGCTCACTGTAGAGAGATATTTCTCAGCGGTTTAACTTGCCTTTTAACGCAGGGTTGTCTCATTTAAATCACCTCATGTCCAACTGACAACCAGGGTAAGCAAAGGGGTTCCGATTCCGTTTGTTCCCGAGCTAATCTATAAAGTCACACTATCACAGGTAACAAAAAACGCTAAACACAAAGTGCTTGTTTTAGAAAAAAGGGGGGGACGACACTCACCTGGAAGAATTGGTCAAGTAAAATTCCACAGAGTAGCCAAAATAACTCCCGTTGGGTCCACTATAGACGGTAGGGTTCTCCGAGTCCAAGTTAAACGCAGCGCACAGCTTCGCCAAAACCGCAAGCGAGAGGCAGAGCAGCGCTCGTCGCGGGAGGCTCGCCGGAGTTAAAAAGTCGGGAGAGTTTCCTAAGCGCTGTCTCGCCGAGCCCATGTCTGCAGTTAATCCAGGGACACGCGTGCAGGGCTGTTGTTGATGTTGTTG